AATAGAACTAGTGGAGGAATCCAACCAGTCCATCTCTTTGGATTTAAGATAACTGGAGACTCGACTCATGGTTAACAGCCAGAAGACCTGGAAAAAAACAGCTAAGAATATTTAAATACCAACTTTATCTTTACCTAATCATTTTTTTTTTATGCACTTGTCTCTACACCCAATTGGTGACGTTTAATATAATTTGCTTTGATTTTATAAAATTTATTGTTTAATCTAATTTTATTAATATTATTTACTAACTATTTATTTCTAGAAATAAACTACATCTTACCGTAGGTTGTTACAGCAATTACTAAAATTTAATTCAATGTATTTCAAGCTCTTCAAGCCTTTAAATCTTCAGAATATCTTCGATTTATAATTGCTTTTCAAACTACCTAAAATCATTTATATTTATATCAAATAATAATTAAGGTATATAATTACTCACCTGTTTATAATCCATTTGCGCTTAATTATCTAAAACCACAAAATATATATCTACTCTCATCATTTAATAGAAAATATTCCGCACTATATTTGTTTTCTTAAAAGAACCCGAATCTGTTTTAAAAGCAACCAAAAACTGTTTTTAATCCAGTACAATATCCTGGGATATAGACGGACATTTGGTTGGATATCCATATTGGATATCCACAAAATATATTCTGTGGATATCTCTGGGATTTCTCGTATTGTATAATATATAATCCATAGGATATCTTCTATATTCTGGATATCCATATTAGATCCACGGAATATTTCTGATATCCTGTGGTTATATTGGATATCCACAAAAGATATTTTGTGGATATCTCTGGGATTTGGTGTGTTGTCTGGGCCCAGACAGCACACCAAATTCTTTGGATATCTACTGGACATCCCAATATCCACTGAATGTCCAGTCAATGGTGGATATCTATTTTATATCCATGAGATGTAATATATAGACAGGCAAATGTCCATACATAATAGTAATTATATAACAAATTATTAAACAATTACGCCATTGTGGCTAATAGTACCGTTTAGATATTTAAGATTAAATTTTTTTAAAGATGTATTCAATATCCCATGGATATCCACTAAATATATGAAAGTTTAGGCGCGACGCAAACCATGGAGGATATCCACTAGATGTAATAATTATTAAATTACTTAAATATTACGCCATGTGATAACTAAGAAAGCATGTATATAGGTATGGTTTAAAGAAATTTAAAATTAGTGAGTTGTATTCAATATCCCACAGATATCCGCTAGATAAATAATATTGGCAATGAACGCAGGCGCGGATATTTTCTACCCTCGCAGGTGCCATCGGCCATTTTATAGTTTGTTTTCGTTTTGTTTGTGTCGTGTGCATGAGTTTCATTTGATAATTTTGGATTAAAAGGAGGTAAGTAAGCTTTAAAACTTAAATTTATTAGTGTAAAAGGTTGATAGCTTTAATTAAATAAGACAATGGTTAAATTCACGTTATTAAGATTAAGTAGGTTGTATGCAATGTACGTTAAAATCCGTGTCGTTTTTAGGTAATTCACAAGTAGAAATTCATGTCGTTTTTACCTAACTTCATATATACCTACTTATTTTGTTTGATTAATGTTGTTTCGGTTTGGTTTTTATTGTTTAATGGTTGTTATAATTAATTAGAAAGAGGTATTTTTTTCACTGGTTAAGGTAATCTTATTACATCTGCCTTGTATTTAATAGCATACATGAATAATTTAACAAGTAAGGTTAGGTTATGTTTAGCTCTGGACCAACAGTTTAGATAAATAAGTATAATATATACACAGATCCAGCCCTTTTATATTATTAGTTACTGTTATCTATTGTATAAGTGACAATCTGCACAAAAGGCTTTTTTTCAGTTTCACTTTTTGAGGAATTCTAGAACAGAACGTCTTTTTTTTTTCAGGAAGAAAATTCCATTGAAATTGCGGCGCCAATTTATAATGTGTGTGTGATTAGGTTTTCCTTGACTGAGGGTCCTATGTTCATTCGTCAGCTTAAATGTAATATGTTATTTAATATATTTTTTTTACTACTAACATGAGAAATCACCATTATTTACTCCATTCCTCTAATGAGAAGTAATATTTCTCTCCCTAGGTAAATAATGATAATAAAAAAAAACCTAGGTAAATAATGAAACTAAATTTCATTAGTTTCATTTTGTAAATTTGACAACTAAACTCCCAGACTACTTGATATTTTGAAATATTTGAAAAATAAGTAGGAAATAACTAAAGCTGGGTTTATCAAATCTAATCAAATCAAATATGATAATATATATCAGTGTAAACAGTAAAAATATATATCAGTGTAAACAGTAAAAATATATATTAACTAGGAAATTCAACACCGGCTTTAAAAATTATTAATTAATAACAATAAATCCATGTCATTAAAATATCAAAAATGCAATGGGATATTTCCTAGAATCATACCAAAATTTGACACATGCCAAATTTTTACATAAATAAAGCCAGTCTGATTAGAAACACGCTCCAGTCTGCTTGATATTTCGAAATATTTAACAAATTGTTAGGAAATTACTTATGTCAAAATTAAAATTGCTAATACATTAATGTTAGTAGTAAAAAAAATTCTATATATACCTCGGCTGAGAAAGCTATTATTTACCTCGCACATTATATCCCTCGGCGCTACGCGCCTCAGGATATAAAAGTGCTCGGTAAATAATAGCTCACTTCTCACCCTAGGTATATAATGTACTATATACTATAGTTTACTTTTTTTAAATATATTTAGCCTGCTCATAATATTTTTCTTTGTTTTATCTAACTATACTTATTATAACAACAATAAAGAATAAGATTTATTTGTAAGATGCTTATATGTTAGATGACTCGTGTGTTGCATTCAATTTAAAACTTACTTCACATATTCAATATTTTGGTGTTTTTTTAGGTAAGGTGTATATTTAATTGTAAAAATAAAATGTTGATACTCTTTCTACTCTACATGCTACACCTATGCTGTGTAGCATCAAAAATAGTTAACACTAGAATAGAAAACTTTGTATGGGTGTATACCAAATTTAAAATACAGGGCGTTCCGATATTATGCTACTGAAATGCTGATTTTCTTCATGTGGAATGTTTTTCGATTAAACAGTACATTGTTCCACTTATCTTCCAAAAAAAAAAAAAAATAATGAAGCATTAAATACGACACCCTATAGGCATATAATTTTCGAAATAATGAATGTACACTCTGGATCCATAGGATATATCCATTGGTTACTTATGAACCTCTACTAAAGGTACCCATTAGATATTTTGCTGGATATCCATAGAATATCTTCTATATCCTGGAAATAGAGGGACATTTGGATATCCATATTAGATCCACTGGATATTGGATATTTTGTGGATATTCCTGGGATTTCGTGTATTGTCTGGGAGATACCCATTAGATATTTTGCTGGATATCCATAGGATATCTTCTATATCCTGGATATAGACGGACATTTGGATATCCATATTAGATTCTCGAGATATCTATGATATCCTGTGGATATATTGGATATCCACAAAAGACATTCTGTAGATATCTGTGGGATTTGGTGTGTTGTCTGAGAACACTCTCCACCAACTTAGATGCACTTTTATGTTCAAAAAATGTAAAACTGTACTACGTTATATATAAACATTTGAAAAAAATGAATCATGATATATAAAAAATACAGATATAGGTACATATATAAATAAAACAATAAAAACAAAAAAAAAATATTTGTATTGTAGTAATTTGTTAAAATTGTAAATAGGTTTAGATTCGTTTTAATAACATTAGCTCTGGCCAAACGATCCGAGATCAAGGCCATTTAGCAAAACACACAAATATTGCCGCGTTTGAGAATCCACATCGGATGCATCCGAGATGTAGTAAATCTTTGATCATATGTGATTCAGTATACGTAAATGTAATGGGACAGATGTGTCCGATGTGGATAAAAAAACGCTCAAGATGTAAAAAATGCATCCGATGTGGATTCTCAAACGGGGCAAATACTCTTCACAGACTATTGTGTGAAAGTGTGAAGAGTATGTCAAAATGACAAAATGAAAGTTCATCAAAACAAGAACTATCTCATGTCAAACTGACTCGAGGTACAGTGCAGGGGGCGCTACATAAAAGATGTGCCAACAGACTTTTTTTTAAATTGCATTTAAAAATAACCCAGACAGCACACCAAATCCTTTGGATATCTACTGAACATCCCAATATCCACTGAATGTCCAGTCCATGGTAGATATCTATTTTATATCCATGAAATGTAATTTATAGACTTGCAAATGTCCATAAATAATAGTAATTATATAGCAAATTATTAAAAAATTACGCCATTGTGGCTAATAGTACCGTTCAGATATTTAAAATTAATTATTTTAAGGTGTATTCAATATCCCATGAACATCCACTAAATATATCAAAGTCTAGGCGCGAACGCAAACCATCGTGGATATCCACTAGATCACACAATAATAATAATAAAGTATTCTGTAACTAGATGTTATTTGATTCTGCTTACTGCTTACTAAGTATAGATGGCGATACCACTATCGCATCTACTCATGCTCGACCCGCAGTAATTGAGTTCGATCGAAATATGTCTCTTATCACTCCATTAGAGACTGGAGTCGAGAATTTTCATTTATTGCTAAAGAGTCCTAATAAGGATGACTTTCTCCTTAGTGGGCAAAATCAAAGGCAGAGTGTTGAAAATATTTTTTATCTCTGCTATTTTCTTTCGACGTTATTCAATAATTGGTTACTTATGAATGAACCTCTACTAAAGATACCCATAAAATATTTTGCTGAATATCTTCTATATTCTGGATATAGACGGACATTTGGATATCCATATTAGATCCAGGGAATATTCCTGATATCCAGTGGATATATTGGATATCCACAAAAGATATTCTGTGGATATCTCTGGGATTTGGTGTGTTGTCTGGGAAATAAGTTTTCGAAAATTTTATAAAAAAAAGTGGATTCTCCTTCCTAAATTTTGTCATTTCCTGAAAACTTTGCAAGAACCGGTGCTAAAAATAAGGCATTGTTTGCTTTTATGCAAGCCTATTGTATTCCTCACATATCAAAGTTCTATTTTATTTTATGAATGTATTTAAATTAATGGAATGTACACAATAAATAAAATGAAACACAAAAGTTGCAGATTAATGCAATAATAAATATCTTTATTTTGTACTATTTGAAATAGCATTCAGTCAAGAAATTTGAAAAAATGAACAATACTGTAAATGACATACATAATTATTGTATTCAATAAAATAATACATAATTAAGGAAACATGGTGAAAAAAAATCAATTACACCAACTATATCAACCTGACTTTTTTGGTAAACAAATACCAAGGAACATTTAAAATAAAAATATAAATAACTTCCAAATTGTATTAAGCATTTCCTAAGCTCTTTTGTTCAGTCCAAATTTGCAATAATTCTTGAGGATCTCCATATCCATGCGATGCAATAACATACTTAAAATTTAATTTATTATAATGAAGTTTATAAAAATGGAATTCATCACAGTTTAATGGCTCAATTTTAGCTTTATAAGCTAGAAGTCCGATGTATATATCATCAAATCTAAAGTGTTTGGTATAAAAACTAGTATAATACATATCAATCAAGGCATGTTTAGATAATACATAGGCCCCTGCAGTTACATAAGGGGGCCACTTATGGTAAGGATATTCTTCTAATGAGACATACCATTTACTTGTAAAGTGTCTGTGAGGAGAAGACTGAAATACATAACCAGCATATAGTCTTGAAATATTTTCTTCGTAATTAGAAAGTTCTCGTTTAGTTCTTAAAAATGTAGGTACTTGTACAAATAATTCCTTTACGTAATCAGGATATTTTTTAGGGTGCCTTAAAAAGCGTAATACATTTTTAGTTGATACATAGTAATCATCATCAACAAACATATAAAACTCTGAATTTAGGCAATATTTATTAACCCACTGCAAACCCATCATGGTTTTTAAAGTATTATTGTAATAACTATCAGTAAAATTTGCTCTAATAACGTCGGTAAATTTTCGGTATTCTTCATCTAAAGATTGCTCTAATACCTTAGTCTTCGTCTCTCCTACTAAAAACACAGTTCTAATTTCTACATCGGAAAATCTCTTCTCATAGCCCCAAGTTTGTCGAATTCCTATTCTTTTATTAATATTTTCTGGAGCACTTTTAATTATATAAACAAGTTTTAATTTTTTTACATTGTTACACTTATAAGCACAGGATCTGTAGTATTTGAAATTATAAGAATTTATAGGTGGTACATCGGGTGTTAAATTATTTTTAAGTTGTTCCACTAGTGGTTCAATATTTCCGTCATAAGGATAATGAAAATCTTCGTAAAAATTGATTTCAAATAAATGATTATGCACTCCAAAAATATATAAAATGGTGAATGATATTAGTACTAGAACTATTCGACTTAATTTTCTTGTAGGAACCAACATTTTTTGTCATTTTCGTGCATCAGTCTCTGATTTTGTTTCACTTTTCACCAGCAGATAATTAATTAATAAACTTAATTAAATTATTTTTACTCTTTTGACATAACATAAAACATAACCTATAAATCTAATGTCAAAAACAAGAGCTATGTACTGCAGTGTTGCCAATATAAATGTACTAAAATTTTAATGAAAGGTACTAGATTAACAAAAGATGTACTAAACTTTTTAACACATTTAATAAAAAACCGTTCGTTAACGGAGAGCGTTTTTCAAAATAAAAAAATGAGTGCTTGAGCTAACATCTTACTATTCATACGTACGATATCCGACAATATGATGATCCGAAATTTTTCTCTTGATTATTTCAAAAAAATGACTAGATGAATCATCGGTTAAAAGTTAAAATTTATTCGACTTTTCCGAAGTCGGACAAATAGTTAAACAGCTTGTTAACTTGTAGAATGATTCTAGTGTTATCATTAGGCGAACATGGTACATTTGCTGGACTGTATCTTGAAAGGGAAACTCTTGGCTAAATCAAAACAACTCTGACTAATGGCATACTGTTAATTTAATTATTCAATAACTGAGAACACAAATTATTTACAAGATAAAGTATATGTGTTTTGTTTCAACCGCACGCTATAGGGACGATAACAAAAAGAAGTGAACTGGTCGACCTCGAAACATGTTACCTGATAAATGTTTGACGGTGGAGTCTATGTAACAATAAAGTATGCTGAGGCATCTTTACTGTTCGAAGGTTAAAACTGGAGTGTTTTGTGTAACGATAGATATAATACCGACGCCGAGGCATCTTCATTGTTCAAAGTTTGAAAGCGGAGTGTCTGTGTAAAGATAAAAAAGAATTGCATCGCTTAAAATAACAGATGAACGCACTTCGAGTGATGGAAAAGTGTAATCAAAATGGCGACTTAATGTCGTACTTTGATTTATTTGAAGTCAATAATTTTATATGATGATGTTTTTACATCATTTAAATTAAGCTATTAAAAAATTGCATATATTCTCAACAAAACTGACTAGCTTCACTAGCTCGAGTTTCACATATACAAAACCGTAATGCAAAGGTGCGGACACTTTTATTAGTATTGTCAAAGAATCTCCTCTCTCAATGGGGCGTACTAACTAACGTACTAGAAACTTTGAAAAGGGAGATTTAGTACGAACCTACTAGCTCTAACAAGCAAAGAAAACTGAAAACTGGCAACGCTGGTATTGTTCACAAAAACAAGGCCAATGACATGACATGGACACAGCAGATGAAAGAGGAAAGGAAACCATCAAGTAAATAGCAATGGAGTAGTCAATCATGTTTAAAAATGTGGCAACAAATTTGCTTTGAGCGACGTATGAAGGAGTCGGATCAACTATTAATCCAGGGTATGGAAGAAGGATTATTAGGCTTAATAATCTGCTTCCGCTTCTTTTATGTTTATATCTTATAAACTTACTTGGCCATTGTCAATCGTACATTTATTATGCATTAATTTTTAATTAATATTGAGTTTTGCCATTTAAAAAAAAACTCCAAAACAATTATGAAGTCTAGTCTTCATAAAAACAATATACTTCACTAGAAGCGTTTCTGTCGCAAAAGACACAAAACAATTATTTTGAATTGTTTTTGCCAATCGTCCATTTTTAAAGTCACGTGATTCGAATGAAGACTCGTCTTAAAAATTTGACGAAAATAAAAATCAAAAGCAAGTCATTGTTTTCGGAGGAAAATGTTTATTTACTTATGTTCGCAAAAAAAACAACGCTCTAGATATTTTATTTATATAGAAGATCTGCGAGTTGCGAGTTGTTTTTACGCCAGCAGCGTCCTCAGACTAGTGAGTGCGAACTAAAAGATTGATCGATGAAGTGAAAATTTGTCATTATATCTTTTAGTAGTTGGTTGGTTTGTGGTAAAATATGTCATCGGTGTTATCTGCTTCTGCCATTAGATCACACCAAAAAGTTTTAATATTAACATTATCCTGTATTTGAATAAAAATGTTAACATGTGTGAAACAACTAAATTACGTTGGACGTTACAGAATTCTTTACAGACTGCTTTTAACCCTCTGGTTAGTAGTTTTAATGATATCTGCTTTCTCGGTGTTAACATCAAACATAACATATTCAGATACTAAAGTAGCAGAAAGATTAGCAAGGGCTTTAAACGATTTAGAAGCTCTACGCAAACAAAACGAAGAAATACATGAAATATTTAGAGATATAAGCATAAACAATTTAAATGACGATCAAAAAGAAGCTATCGAAAATTTCCAATCAAGATTGACTAAAGTTGAACATCCTTTTGATAAAGAAAAGATAGAAAATATAACTCCCAAAGAAGAACCTAACACTCAGTATGAATTATTAAGAAGAAGGATATTTTCAAATACAAAAGAATTGTTTTATTTCATTAACTCAGGATTATCAGATATTCAGAAACAAGCTACTAAGGTTAGTTGAGATAACTTATTTTGGCGAATATCTAGATTGACATATTTTCGATTAATAAAAACTAAGCATGTGTATTTGTAGGTATCGCTATTGTAAACAAAAAACCTAAGTTTAATATCTTGTGCAAATGAATAAAAAAAAATGCCATTTTTTTCAATTAAAATTGATAATTTTATGGGAAAGGGAGTGCATAGGGGTGCTGGGTGGGTAAAACAATGTCAATAGTTATAATAATCACACAACAATATTGAACTATTTAAATTCTGAAAAATGGCTAGAAGTTTATGATGCATATTTGGCGAAAGATAAATATAATGCTTTTATTACAATCTTCAGTTCATGTTACAATATATGTTTTAAATCCAAACCTCAAATGCAGAATAAAAGGCAGGGCTCTTATTGGGTTTCTCCCACAATTACTGAGGCAAAAAATGACTGCTGTTTTTGCATGAATGGCAAAAACAGCATCCTAGTACTCAAAATATTCAATTATATAAAGATTATAAATTAACATATTTAAAAATTTTGGGAGCAGTGAAACATGATTTTTGCAATAATTATATTATATTAAATTCTGATAATAAGGCAAAGACTTTGTGGAATATTATTAACAAAGAAATTGAAATAAAGCAAATACAAAGCCAGAAAATTTCACTCCTGAAGATCTTAATAATTTTTTTATTAATAATGCAGAAAACATAATTCAGAATCTAGAGAAACCAGATATACCTGCTACTTCTCTATAAATATACCACAATTAAAAAATTCAATGTTTTTTCAGCCAGTTACCCAAACCGATATAGAATCAATTGTAAAAGAGGATATTGATGGATTTAATGTATTTATAATGATAAAATGTATTTCTTTTTTGTCTAAACCTTTAACTATAATTATAAATGTCTAACTGAAGGAATATTTCCTGATAGCATGAAAATTGCTAAGGTCTGTCCTCTATTTAAAAAAAGGGACCCTTCTCAGCCTTGCAACTTCAGACAAATTGCTGTACTTCCCATGTTCTCCAAAATCTTGGAAAAAATTATGTATAATAATCTAATATCATTTTTAAATTCTTCCAACATACTCACGCCATTCCAGTATGGTTTTAGAAGGGGGCGATCTACAATAGATGCAGTATTATCTCTAGTACAATATATAGAAAATTGTTTTGAAAAAGCTGAAAACTGTTTAGGTGTATTTACAGATCTAAGCTCTGCTTTTGACTGTGTAGATCATTCAATTCTATTATCAAAACTGGAGAGGTATGGAGTACGGGGGATTTGTTTAGTTTTTTGAATCTTATTTAATTGACAGATGTCAAACAGTCATCATCGAAAATTGCAAAAGTTTATTGATGCATATCAGGAGAGGTGTCCCTCAGGGCTCAATTTTAGGTCCATTACTCTTTTTGATATACATTAATGATCTTCCTGACCATATGCATTTTGAAAACCTTATCACATGTATATTTGCTGATGATACTTCTTTTTGTATTAATACTAAAAGAGGAACAGATCATGATCAAGTTTACTCTGATGTCATGATTCAGATGAAGAGGTGGTTTTCTGTAAACGACCTGTTTTTAAATGACACAAAATCTATCTCCTAATTATTTACAGTAAATAGTGAACAAGTTAATAACAATTCTGTTAAAACACTTGGCATTCAAATTGATCCACATCTCAGATGGACAGATCATATTGAAGCACTTTGTTCCAAATTATCACAAGCAGTTTTTGCTATCAGGAAAATATGCCAAATATGTGGTCAAAATGCAGTAATTACTGCTTACTATGCTCTATTTCATAGTCATTTGACATACGGGACAATATGTTGGGGCAATGCTGCTGACACACATATCTCAAGATTCTTTATTTTGCAAAAATCTTGGCAAGCCAGTTGTAGACCAGTATTCCCGGAACTTAAAATTATGACACTCTATGCAGTAATAATCTATCAAAACCTTCTGTTCGTAAGAAATAATATTAACACATTTTTTTCCCACTCAGATATCCATAACTATAATACAAGGCACAAAGATAACTTAGTCCCTATCCAGTATAGGCTGGAAAGGACAAAGAAATATTATATTGAGCTATACAATATATAGCAGAAGTAAAAGTTGGAAAGGCTTTTGCCAGTTCTCCCACTTTATACACATAAATTGACAGGTTTGCTGCGGATCTCACTGAAGTGGACGCGATACATTGGCATACAAAATTATTTTATAGATGTTAATAACAATTTCGAGTAAATAGTTTAATAAATTGTAAATAGGTGTTGAAATTTTGTAAAATTATGATTTGAATATTATAATACATGTTTAATAATTATTTATAGTCCATAAATACATGCGATTCTCCGGTTCCGCCGATAACTTATTCTATGAAACGACACTGGCAGGTAAACATTACTGCGAAATTCTCGAAGCCGTCCGACGTGGTTTGACGTTTACCCCCTCTCTACCTACCAAAAGCCTTTCCAACTTTTACTTTCTCTATACTACCTTTTAATTTTAGAAATCGGCCTATAGATAAATTTAAACATGCATTAAAACAAAATGTTATTCAATAATTGCCTATATAGCTTAGAGGAATTTAAATCAATACAGATGGAGGGAGGCTGTCACTGTGGCCTCTGAGTGATTCAGTGAACTATGTTATAAATGTTTGTAAATTCAATTTTATATTTTTATATTATTATATTTAGGTAAATTTTATTGTATATACAGGGTGTCCCGAAATTAGACGGTCATATTTTAACAGCGTAATCTACATCCTAAAATAGGAATAAAAGTTCATATAAACATAGGTCCGAAAACGTTTTGTTTTCGAGATACAGGGTGTTTCAAGTGAAGTCCTGATGTCACATTTTTGAAAATATTTTCTAAAATTTCGTTAGTCACCGGTTTTCCAAAGTATAAAAAAATTTCTGATTTCACAGGCCTACTAATTATTGTTTACACTTTCGAATAACTTATCATGAAATTTTCAAATGCTTTTTTCTTGAAAATGGTGCATCCTAGCGAGATGCAACAGAAGTAGCTTTATTATAAAAAAAAACATTGTTTTTCCAAATTTTATAGTCAAAAATGGTAAAAACTGTCAACAAAAAAAAACTTAGGGCAATTTTACCCTAAGCCCCCTAATTTACCCACCTATGAAGATTTGGATGATTTTTTTTTCGACTATTTTTTTTATTTTCGCTCCCGTCCTGAAATTTTGTTGAAAATGCCCCAAAAAAAATTCCCTGAAAGTTTGAGTCCTTAATATTAATAATAAGTCCTCGATCAAGACGTGCAAAGATTTTCCATTTCAAATACACGTAAAATTACGGTTTTTTTTTCTTCAGATTTCTATAGCTTAGCGGAATTTCATGGTATTATTTCGACCATAGATATGTATTTCTCCAAATTGAACGCTCTACAAAACTATCCATTGCGGCGATGTCGTAACTCACATCGGCGAGGTAGTACGGGTCACTAAATCGAATTTTTTCATGAAATTCACGTTATTTCGACCCTATTTCATAATTGAGAAGAGTTACAGAAAAAATGTAGGTGACAAAGTTGTAGGATATTTAATTTACTACAAATAATGTCCTGAGAACCAAATCGCTAAGATCAATATTTGTCGAGATTCGAGATATCAAGCCTTGAATTAATTTTACTGTAAAATTTTTGCCGATTATTGACTGAAACTTTTTGAAATCATGTTTTTTTTGTATTATCACACTTTTTGTTTAATATATTTTTTTAAAGTTAGAATACTAGAATATGATTAATATCTTACATCATTAAAGCTCATATTTGAAGAATCTTTAACAAATAAAGGATTTACTGGTTCCTGCTTTTTTACACGATGTATATTGAGAGCGATGATGCTGAACAGTTTGAAGAATTTTTTGTCCCTCAACTTCGTTATGAGTTAATGCTTGATTAAAACTTTCGGCTAGTGCTACTCCCCTTTCTGCAGTATCGTTAACCACTTTTAACATTTTAAATGTATCATAATACAAAAAAAACCAAGATTCCAAAAAGTTTCAGTCAATAATCGGCAAAAATTTTACAGTAAAATTATTTCAAGGCTTAATATCTCGAATCTCGCAAATATTGATCTTAGCGATTTAAGGCTCAGGACATTTTTTGTAGTAAATTAAATATCCTACAACTTTGTCATTTACATTTTTTCTGTAACTCTTCTCAATTATGACATAGGGTCGAAATTACATTAATTTCATAAAATTTCACGATTTAGTGACCCGTACTACCTCGCCGATGTGAGTTACGACATCGCCGCAATAGACACTTTTGTAGAGCGTTCAATTTGGAGAAATACATGTCTATGGTCGAAATAATACCATGAAATACCGCTAAGCTATTCGCGATTCAAGCTAAGTGATACGCCCTCTGGAGGAAATTTGTAGAAGGTCCGAATAAGTAGGATATCGTTCAGTGTTGCCAGAAGTAGCAAAACTTCGCTACGTCGTCGGATTTTAGCTCTGGAAGAAGTGGATAAAACCTTTTATTTAAGAATCAAAATTTGTGTATGTTATGATAATCTATATTTATTTAAGGATTTTTTTATAAAACCGATTTATTATATTGATTTTTTTTAAATTTCAGTTCATTTATTAATTTTGTTTTAAAATCAGTTCATCATTTGGCAACATTGGCGTTCATGTTTATTGTTTACATTTTAATTTGTATCAATTACAAATAGTTTTTTTTTACTTTTTAGCTTTAAATTTGTTTTTTTCTTATAGCATGTGATAGTGTTTATATTAAAAATGAAATCTGTGACGAAGTCCCCAGAAAATTGCAATCTATATGGTGTTAATGTCAAAATCAAAACTGAAGATTCATTATTTTCCAAGTACAAGTAAATGGATATCTACAAATTCACAATATTGAAATTTTACGAAACTTTGTTTAGAATCAAACTGAAATCTTATTTTTTGACGGTTTTATTACCATTTACATGTATACAAAGTACTACGTGATT